TTTTTTTTTTTTTTTTTTTTTTAAAATTTTTTAAAGTTTATTTATTTACTTTTGAGAGACAGGGAAAGAACGAGAACAAATGGGGGAGGGACAAAGAGAGAGGGAGACACAGAATGCAAAGCAGGCTCCAGGCTTTGAGCTGTCGGCAGAGTCCAATGCGGGGCTCGAACCCATGAACTGTGAGGTCGTGACCTGAACCAAAGCCAGACGCTCAAGTGACTGAGCCACCTGGGTGTCCCAAAACTGACACCATTAGTAGCTGCGTATGTGGTGGATAGGCAAATAAAGTGTGAAACAGAGCAATTTAAAGTACTGCATAAGAGGAAAGTTAACCAGAAAAATGTACTGGAAAACTGAAAAGACATTCACACAAAAACTAAGCATTGTGTTCTTCATCTTTGTTTTAGCTGGTGTATTTCAAGCAAATACACAGTCCTTGAAAAGATCACTTCTGACGGGCTTTGGGTGTAGTCCTTTGTATGGATTTTTAAAATAATCTCTGTACATTTAGAGAATATTCTTTTACATGCATCTTTATGCATACTTCTACCTAATTCGATTTATTAGATGAAGATTAATTTGTTAAAACACAATAACTTTTTAAGTCTCTAGATTGCATCAGGAAATTGGTTGTCCCATGCCATATGCCTGTCAACAGTATGTGTAAAAGGGTTCTGACTGAACCTTGTCAATATTGACAGGCTGTCGTTTTGTTTTTGTTTTTTAGACTTTTTAAGTTTTTTTTTTTTTTGAGAGAGAGCAAGAGAGAGAGAGCATGAGCATGAGCATGAGTATGTGTGGGGGGTGTAGAGGCAGAGAGAGAGAGAGAGAGAGAGAGAGAGAGAGAGAGGGAGACAGGAGACAGAGAATCCCAAGCAGGCTCCTTGCTGCCAGTGTAGCCTGATGTGGGCTCAAACTCACAAACTGAGATTATGACCTGAACTGAAATAAAAAATCGGACGCTTAACTGACTGAACCACCTTGTTCTTTAGACTTTTGATAATTGTGTAGTGATAGATTGTATCTTGATTTTATTTTCCTATATTCATTTCTTTGGTTATCAATGAGATTTCAATATTCTTAGATATATTTACTGGCCCCAGTATTATTTCTTCTGTCAATTGTTAGGTCATGTTCTTTGCTTGTTTTTCTATCATGATATTACTGTTTACTTATTAACTTGCAAAAGCTTTTATCCACGTTAAGGATATTAATCATTGATATTTTTCATGGCTTCACTATTCACAGCTTTACCTGAGCCCTTTAATTTTCTTAATGGTGTTTTTTGACACATGGAAATTCCAATTTTATATAATCATATCTTATAAGTCTTTTCCTTTGTGATTTCATTATATTTATATGCATATAAGTTACCTTTGAATTGTAAGATTAGTTAAATATTAATGTATGTTTTATTTATTTTTTTTTTTTTTAAATTTTTTTTTTTTCAACGTTTATTTATTTTTGGGACAGAGAGAGACAGAGCATGAACGGGGGAGGGGCAGAGAGAGAGGGAGACACAGAATCGGAAACAGGCTCCAGGCTCTGAGCCATCAGCCCAGAGCCCGACGCGGGGCTCGAACTCACGGACTGCGAGATCGTGACCTGGCTGAAGTCGGACGCTTAACCGACTGCGCCACCCAGGCGCCCCTAAATATTAATGTATGTTTTAAAAACAATTTTATTTGATAAAGTTTACATTGAATAACCCATCTGAATTTTATTATGGTATGTATTTTGGGCTAAGCCTCCAGATTCGTGGTTCTGTCCCCTGTCTCTTCAGTAGCAAGAGTAGAGCCCATGCATCTCTAGCTTTTAAACACTCCTCACCTTGTTTTTCTTGTGCAGTTTGGTTTAAAAAACACTAATCTACTTTATTTTGCTTTATTTTTTTAAACAAACTTTTTTTTCCAACACTTTTTGTAGAATATTTTAGCTCTTCCTTATTATTGGTGGTACTTCCTTTATCATAAGTTTTAAATGTATTCCCACAGCTCATTTTTGTTTAACTTTTCTTTTTATTAAAAGTTTATTTATTTATTTTTGAGAGAGAGAGAGAGAGAGAGAAGGAGAGTGAGAGAGCAGGGGAGGGACAGAGAGAGCGGGGGAGAGAGAGAATCCCAAGTAGACTCTGCTCTGCTGGGGTGGAGCTTGATGTGGGCCTCAAACCCACGAACAGTAAGATCATGACCTGAGTCAGAATCAAGAGTTGGACGCCTAACTGACTGAGCCACCCAGATGCCCCTTATTTAATTTTGCTAATTTTGCTTTGTTGCACTGTCAGTTTTTAGGCTGATACCATAATACTTTCATTTTTAAAGCATTATGGGGCGCCTGGGTGGCTCAGTCAATTAAGCGTTCGATTTTGGCTCAGGTCATGATCTCATGGTTCGTGAGTTCGAGCCCTGCGTTGGGCTCTGTGCTGACAGTTCAGAGCCTGGAGCCTGCTTTGGATTCTGTGTCTCCCTCTCTCTTTGCCCGTCCCTGCCCCTCACTCTCTCTCTCTCTCTCTGTCAAAAATGAACAAACATTAAAAAAAATTAAAAAATAAAGCATTATAAATTATTTTCATCTAGTACATCCAGAAAAATAATTCCCAGTATATCCAGAAAATTTGTTCATCCAGTATGTCCAGAAAATTTTTTCATTGAGTATATCCAGAAAATGTATTTTCTCTAATTAAAAAAAATTTTTTTAATGTTTTTATTTATTTTTGACACAGAGAGAGACAGAGCATGAGCAGGGGAGGGGTAGAGAGAGGGGGAGACACAGAATCTGAAGCAGGCTCCAGACTCTGAACTGTCAGCACAGAGCCCGACGCGGGGCTCGAGCTCACAGACCGTGAAATGGTGACCTGAGCTGAAGTTGGACGCTCAACCGACTGAACCACCCCGGTGCCCCATCTCTAATTTTTCTTAATTTTAAATTCATCTTTCTTTTTTCTATATTTTTTATCTGGTAAAATTTTAATAATTTCAAACAATTTCTGAAAAAAAAAAAAGATCAATTTGAAATGTAGTTTTTTTCTCTAAGGATTTGGGCTCTTCTCTATCTCCTCAGTAAAGTTTTGAAGGTTTGTTGATACCTTTCTCCCCAGGACTGTTATTAAGCAGTTTAGTGTTTTACTTTCTTTCTTGTTTTTCTTTTAATTATTGAAGTCTGGTTGACCTATAATATTGTATCAGTTTCAGGTGTATGACATAGTGATTTGACAATTCTGTACCTTATTTAATGCTCACCACAATAGGTATAGTCACTGTCTGGCACCATGGAACATTATTACGGTATTATTGACTATGTTCCCTATGCTGTACTTTTCATATCCATGACTTACTTATTTTATAACTGGAAGTTTATTCTTTTTAATTCCCTTCACCTATTTTGCCCATCACTTCTCCTACCCCCTCCACTCCCCAATAGCCACTAGTTTGTTCTCTGTATTTATGAATCTGTTTCTGTTGTTTTGTTTTTCGGATTCCACATATATGTCAAATCATGTGGTGTTTTCTTTCTCTGCCTGACCTATTTCACTTAACATAATACCCTCTGGGTCCCTTTGTGTTGTTGCAGGTGGCAAGATCTCATTTTCTTTTTAAGGCTGAGTAATATTCTATTGTACATATACCACATCTTCTTTAGTCATCTCTTGATGGTCATCTATGTTGCTACCATATCTTGGCTATTATAAATCATGCTGCAACAAACATAGGCATGCATATGTCTTTTCAAATTAGTGTTTTCATTTCTTTCGGGTAAATATCCAGTAGTGGAATTCCTGGATCCTATAGTATTTATGTTTTTAAGTTTTGAGGAACCTCCATACTCCATAGCTGCACCAATTTACATTCTCACCAATAGTGTATGAGGGTTTCCTCCTGTCCGCATTTTTTCCAACACT